CTGTTTTAAATAAACCTGTATTTTACATTTTTTGTAGCTCAGATTTTTTTACTAGTTTAGATTAGCTCACCTTTGTGAATCCAAATTATTGAGTTTTTTTCTCTTAGCTGATATTCTCCTTAAGTCAACATAACTAACATAGGTAGAATATACATTTTATCAGGTTCAGAGAAATCAAGTAACTTGACCAAATCCCACCCTCATGCCCCAAAGTAGGACCAGAACTCGTATTTTGTGATCCTAGCCAAGTGTTTTTTCCTCAAAAGAAGTAAAAAAGGCAGGAAATTAAATTTTGGTAGAGATTTTTTTGTCTAAAGAGTTGAAGTGACTAGAATGTCAGTAACAAAAGCCAGAAACATTGTAGTTTGAGATGATACAAATTGAAGTGGTAATTGAATAAGTAGGTCCTACTCTATTGGGTGTCTGGGTCACTTAAACATTGGGCCTTTTCCAGATTCCATCAGCATTTGATCAGGGAGTCCTAGCAAGATTTCAAAATGGAAACCATGTCCTCTACTCTTTGTTGGAGGCAGCATAGCATAATGTTTAAGCATTCTGGTTTCAGACAGACCTGGATTTGAGTCCTAACTCTGCCTCCTGAATATCATGTGACTTCATATAAGTTACCTGATTTCTCTAAACCTCAGATTTTCTCATTTGCAAAGCAGAGATCATAATAGTACTTAACTCCAAGAGTTGTTGAAAGGATTGAATGAGATAATGCACATAATGTTCTTAGTAAAGGCCCTGGGACAGAGTAAGCATTCTGTAAATATGTTATCATTTTCCCCATTTCTGTTCCCAGGAATAATATTCTAATACAGTTAAAGATATAATTATTTTAAATAGAGAATGAAAGATAATCAAAGATGAGGGAAAGCATAATTTTCAAAGTAGGTAAAGGTTAAAGCAGAGCAGTTCTCTTATCCCTGATAGTTACAACATAATTCATTATAATATCCCTGATGTTACAATATACCATCAAAGTAACCTTCATATAGCTTAAGTACTTCATATACTTCATACTTCATATAGAGAAGTACTGTTCTTTCCACTCCCAATTTGGGGAGTTTAATATATGATATCCATTATCTTGTCAGTATGGTTTTTCAAGTGGCATTATTATCTTTATCAATTTAGTAATACCTGGTTTTCAACTAAGCCTTTTGGGGAGTTTTGTTTCATTTATAATCACTTATTGAAATTATATAGGCTTTGTTCAACGGCCAATGGTAATACTGTCACTAAGTGCTGTGGTTCATACCGCACTTGTTCAGAGTAGTTTACATTGTTTTCCATTGCAGTGGCATGGAGTATAAAAATTGGTTTTAAGGTAAAAAGTTATTTTATGATGGCACAATTTTAAAATAGAGCAAAGCAGTTCTTGGTACTGTGAATGAAACATGCATATTTATTTATAACATTATCCAAAGACCATTGTGTGAACCTGTTTGGCATATTAGTCTAAAATAAAATTGTAGATTAGGTATTGTGTCTTTCATTGGGAGTTCTTTACCCCATTCTTTTGTGCTTTAAAACAGCCCTGCCACTTCCTGTATAACATCATGTATTCTTAATTATTTTCGGGGGGTTTTTTTTCTTTTTTGTAAATCAGTTGATACTCTTTCTCTTGTCTAAAAATTCTTATTTGAGAAGTGCTTTTAATTGTTTTCAGACCAGTTGGAAATTACAGATACTCTGGCCAAGGTTAAGCACCTCGTGGTAATGGTATTTTTGAATGGCATACACATTGCTGATACAACTAACAAAATATAGAAGTACCAACCAAGCTGAGGTGGAGGAGAGACTGAGAGACTGACTTTTGGTCTTAAGGATATTTGGCTGAGATAAAATATAGCAGAAGGAGAAGGGAGCACCATTTCTTCCCTTTTTCGTGAGGAAGAGGCATTCCACCTATCCTTGGAAATTCCTACATTGCCACTAACTTCTTGATTAAATTCCCTACAATTATGGCTCCCCACCTAATGTTTAGAAAGTTTCCTTCTCCTTTACATTAATATTTTTTCTGTTTCTTTGGTGTAACTTATATATGTATACCTATAAAGATTTAGGGGAAAAATAATCTTATTCAATAATTAACACAAAAGCCCCCTTTACCAGTTCCAATATTTGCATTTTCAAAGAGAAAACTTGTTCAAATGAACTTCCAGTTTCCATGGATGAGTTTTCAAATTGTGTGACAAAAAATTGGGGTGGGGCAAGGTATTTTTTCTTGACTCTAAATCTTTGCTATACTGTGATCAAGCTCCCTGAAGTTATTTGTACTTTTGATAGCATCTCTTCTTCCTGTATTTTTGAACTCACAGGTTTTCCAAAAGTTCTGTGTGCACATAGGTTAAGATTTTTTGTGTGTGAAGATTGGTGGTATTGACAGTTTAGTTTTCCTCACTGAAAATCCCCAAGCCCTATCCTAAACCAAGTAGTCCTCTTAGATGGCAATGAGATTATAAAAAATTCCCATGTCTCATTTTCTCCATGTCTCACCCAAGATGGAGCTTTAAGGAACTCTTAAATAGGAATGATAAACAAACACTTGGCACACCACACTAAATACTCCTAAACTTAAGAAAATCGTCTGAGAGAGCTCTTTTTTACAGAAGAAACATAAGCCACACCATCCAAGTATAATTGCTCTGGACTACTCAGTGAAAATAGATACTAGGAGGCAAATTACAATCAAAATGGTTTAAAGCTATAATCTTGAATTTTTAAATAATAGTGCATATAATTTCCCCAAAATTTCACCAACTTCAAAGTAAGATACTTACCTCCTTTGTTCTAACTGGAACCAGTTTTGCCCCAAAGGTACATAATGCATTACTACTTTGTCTCCCCAGTCTTATATGTAGGCACTCACAGAACTGGATATAATTATACAGTGTAATAGTTCCTTTTCATATGATGAGGGCAAATTATACAGCATTAATAGAAACTTACCAATTAAAGTAATACCACGTTTTGTATTCTCACCTAAATGTTAGCCACATCAAGTCAGAGTTTAGATGAGTGTTCATAATATTTGGAACTCTGCTAGGAAATATGGTACTTATTTAAAAGAAACCTTTACATCACTACCCCCCACCCCCAGTGTAGTCCAGAGACACTTTGAAAACAACTCCAAATCAAAGACATCACATTTCTCTCTGAATCATAGTCACCCTATATTAGAAAGCAGTACAAAGTAAGTGATCACACTAGGTCAGTAGGCCCTTCTAAACCTGAAATGATATTCTTTACAATTACATATAAAAGAACTAGGTATTTTCTATAACGACTGTCATTTGTTATGTGTAATTCAGATGTTAATGAACCTGTAAATTGTGAAAGTGCCACATGCAGTACCAAAGCCATAGTTTATTGGCCATTTCCTACATGGAAAATATTTTCTGATTTTTAAAAAACAGAGGGATTATAGCCCAGCTGGTGTTCTCAGTGGTTTAGTGTTGACCCCATGAACCAAGAGGTTACCTGTTTGATTCCTGGTTAGGGCACTTGCCCGCCCCCATTAGGGGGTGTGCAGGAGGCAGTGGATCAGTGTTTCTCTCTCATCGATGTTTCTCTTTCTCTTTCCCTCTCACTTCCTTTCTCTCAAAAATATCAATAAAAACATTTTTTAAAAGATGAAAAATTGAGAAAACAGGGATTATAGCTTGTGTCTGCATAACTGAAAAGGTAAGAGGCAATTTAGAATATGCTTCTTTGGCTATTTAGATTTATGTTGCCTTCAGTTTTGTCAAAAGCCATTCTTCTAGGCATAATGGAAAGAGAGTTCTGATTTAAAATGAAATAAAGATTGTTATCACTAGAATAGGAGCTCAGAAGTTGTCAGTATAGCCGGGTAAAGTCTATACCAGCCCTCTTAAGTTCTTGTTTGTTTTGTTTTGTTACTATTGTGGTCTTTCATGTGATAGGACTCTGGAATTTTTTAAATACATAATTACTATTTTTAAGCACTCTAATTATGTGAGTGCTTAATACCATTTAATGTCATTAGCTACAATATCAATTGCTTAATATGGAACAAGGGCAATAAAACTACACTGCAGCAGCAAGCAGTTTTATTTCTCTCTCAACTAAAGTATGAAATTTTTAATTCATTTATATATATTTAAGTCATAAAATTGTCATGTTATCGTTTAGGCATAAATTGGTACATTTCTTTAGATACTTCATTAGTTCTTATTTGTACATGGTGTTTTTATTATTTATTTCCATTTTTACAAAGCTAGTTTGTTTTGTTTTTTAGCAACCAGGCTTTAACTGCAGAAATTGACTTTTCTGCACGTTTATATGATTCTCTCCCCAACCCTAGTTGTATATGCCAAGCTTCTCTATAATGAAAACTTCTTATAAGGAGTGTTTTATTACCTAACCCTACTATGCCAAGTGCCAGTTCTTACTCTCAGGTACTTATCTATGAGGGTCATAGATGTCAGATACTTTCTTTAGAAAAAAATTAATCCATTTCTTTCCCACATCTCATTCTTGAAGAGTCTATCCAATGGAATACAGCACAAGGCATACTAAAAGGAGGCCCTGCTTCATGGAATATTAGAAGTTTCAAGACAATGGAGTCCAGCTCTTTCTTCTTTGTAACATAAAATGGAATTATTTGCCTTTGCTCTTTTTTTTCTTTTTTTAACACTCTCCTTATTTTTCTCCCCTCAAAAAACAATCTCCCCCTTTGGAGGAGGGGGCAAGCATTAGGTTTAGGGCTTGGCAAAGTGTTGAAGCATTGACGTAGTTTTACACAAATTATGTGTTAGCTAGAAATCTAAGGACATTCCTTACCAAGCCATGACATTGTACTGCCATAACTTAATAAAAACTGCCCAAGTGTCAGTGTGTCTGCTGAATGGATTTTCTTACACCATCTGGTTGTCATTGTAGTTCTTTTGTTGTTGCTTTCATTTGAAATATGCTGATGATCTTGTTTTTATTCCGTAGCATTGAACAGATGGGTTGATTATTCTTTTCAGATATTAATAAGGCAGCGGAAAGAAGAAATATGAATACGGCTCCATCAAGACCCAGTCCCACACGAAGGTAAAGTACCCTGAAGCAGTGAGTTACCTTGGGAGAGTTGGGCTCTGGGGAGTTAAGCCCAACTTCATACATCAAGGGTCTTTTCTTCCCCCCAACAAATCAGAAACACTCAAGCAAACAATAAGAACATGAACCATGTGTGAAGGGCCTTGCTGCTTTTTTAAAACATGCATCAGGAGATGCAGAGGAAGCTTTGTGTTTTCGGTGGCAAACTCAGCAAGTTCAGCTTGCAACATGAGCTGCAGGCGATTGGAAGAGGATAAACCTCTGTTCGTCCCCAGCTCACGTGTCAGTAGGAGCCTCCACAGCAGGAGGAGTGCCCCAGGGTCGTTGGTGTGTGCCATGCTGCTGCAGCGGGCAGCAGAGATTCAACACTTCATTCCAAATGGCTGCCGGTCCAGATTTTAACCCAGGTTTACGGAAAGTGCTGCTTGAGAGATTGCTGCTGCGCCTGTGCTGCAGATCCCATGTTTGATCCCATGCTTGGGTTACCCACCTGAGGGGAAATAAAAAGGGCATAAACACTCCACCTCTCAAAAGTCTCCCTTTTTCTTAGCTTTCCTGGAAATAAAAGGCATTTCCCCCAGTATAGTCTGTCTTCCAGCACATACAAAAGAAATCGTCCTGATGTGTACCCTGGAGATAGGCATTAAATGGCCACTTTTTGCAAAGAAGAGCCTTGTTAATATTACCATTTACACCAAAGATGAGTATATTGTATTCAAAAGTGTCACCCCATAACAGCCCGCAAGTGGATGGCAGTATATGCAGTTTTGTGTGGAGTGCAGGCAGATATGTATTTCATATCTCGTGTCTCTTCATGGCCCAAGTGGATACTTTGTGGATTTTGCTTTGGTCCCTCAGTAAATGCCAACTTTCCATAGTAAATTATATACCGAAACTACGTACGTACCACGGTAAACTATATTTCCTACAATGAACTGAACCCTGCTGAGTACAATGAATCCTAATTTGTACTGGTAGCTCCACAGGTCACCTGGGGACATACTCAACTGAGCATAACACAACTATCCTGCTTTGGGACAGAAATACTTATATTTTGTTGCCAACTTATAGAAAGAATGGCTGCTGTATGTTTGGTGTTTATGCATCCACTTGGATATGAAGGGTGGGTATTTTCTAAGCTACCAGGGATAGATTACACGTCTGCTACAGAGTTCAGGCAGACCCTAGGGGCAGGGTAATGCTGCCAATTTCATTCGGATTCTTTGAGCACTCTGCCTGAGCGGAGGAGTTGAATCTGATATAACAACTACCGCTGTCAGGTGGATGCCCTGGTCTCACTACAGAAGTGAGCATATACATTGGTATTCTCTCTGTTCTCTCTAGCACCATCAGGAATACCTGCAGCTTGTAGGTAAATACTTTGTTGATTGACTTTGTGAGTATGTGTAAGTATCCTAAAGAAAATAAACAAATCTACAGAACTTCAACAGTTCCATATAATTGCTTCCATTATGCTGCATCTAACCATGCTGCAGATTTGGGGCAGTCCCATCTGTGTTGCATCTCATTGCCCCAATAAACATGGAATACAGGTGGCTAAGAACTTGCATCTAATGGTCAGAACTATGGGACTCCCATTGGAAGCTGTGGTTGCCATATGGCTTGAAAGGAGACATTGTGTGTATCCACTTTCCAAGGAGCTCTAATGTGTGTTTTGCTTAACTAGGTAGCTTACCAGAAGGAGTGTGGAATTGGTAAATATAAAGACACTGACTTCACTAGTAAAATCCTCCCCCATTCTGTTTTCCCCGTGATGTTTATGATCTCTAGATCAATGTCGTCTGTGTTTCTGCAGACAGAAAAGGGGTGAGGGGTATATTGCAGAATATAGTGTAGCTTCTATTTGTGCTATGAATTGAGAATATTTTATGTCTTCCTACTTACGATACTTAACCAAGTGATTTAAACATTACCACTTGATTGTAACTTGCAACAAACAGTGGCAATGTTGGGGAAATAACCAACTCCCCTTGTTGGAATCTAATATAGCCATTGCCAGGGCATTAAATTTAAAAGATTAATTTTATACCAAGCTAAAATGCAGATCCATAATTTTATCTTTAATGGAAGAAATAGCTTTATGCTTTTTTAAAAAAATAATATTCCCCCCTCAAAAAAAACAAAAAACCAACATACAGACAACATTGTAGGGGACCTTTAAAAATGTTCTCCTTACCAGGTATATAAATAAATGTGATTTTTATATACCTTTTAAAATATCACCTTCCTCAGGAATAAATTTTAAAATGTGGTGGTTTAGGGTGTGGATAGGGCAGTGGCTTTTTGCTTTATTTACAGTCCATAGATGGGACAACTAGGCTAATTTAAATTCCACTAAGAATCAGTTTTCCCCTTGGTGATATGTCCCTAAGTAGGTTTCTCAGCATGTTATTTAACATGCTCAAGTTTCACACAGTCATATTTAATAAGGTTCAGGGAAGAGGGATGTTCACATTTAATAAAATCTTTTCTGAGCTGCATCTAAAACCTGAGCAGAGTCCCAGTTTTTTATCTTTAAACATTTTTTAAACCTACAACCAAACAAATTGTAAACATTGTATTTAAAGTAGAACATTAACATTTTGATCATTGCCCTGATCTTGCCATGCATTATCTCCTAAGATATACCAGTAGGGCAGAAATAAAATGCAGTAAGTAGGCAAGATGTGTGAGTAGTTAGCCTGGAAGGGGGTGATCATTTCTCTGAGGGTGAACACTGTATATCACATTACTCTAGGTACATGCCTATAGTCAACGCCTTGAATTGCAAATGTACCAGTATGTTGACAAGAAACATACTACCTTCATTTGACAACCCTAATTTTCTCATGTGCTCCCAGCCATGGGGAATGCATTATTCACATGGCAGGGGAATCACTGTACCTATGAGAAACATTTCCCTTAAGTTGTACCTTTTTGTGTTCAGTGCTGCTACTTTTAAATTGTCTAAGCATGCTGGCAAGACCTTTGTAACACCTTGTTTTGCTGGACTTTAACCTTGAGTGTCAAAGCACCTAGGTATCTTTGGGAGTTTTTACAGGATTATCACCTCTTCAAATATCTGTGTAAGGCACAGTTCTGCTGGCGTTGCTCTCGGTTCAGTAATGTGCCTCCCTAATGACTCCAACTGTCAGTGTGTAATTCTAACAATATCGGCCCAGCCAGGCACAGAACTTTGCATCAGACATCCCTGCTCTGGATCAAATTTCATCCTGAATTCTCATCATTTAACCCTTGGATCACTTCATTTGACTCCTTTGAGTATATTACATAGTTACCACTGCAAGTAGCCTAGCACTGGTGCTAGGCATTAGGCCTTCTTCAAAGACTGGACCGTGATTCTGGTTGTACCTCACATGTCCTCGGTTTCCATCTGAAGCTCAACACCTTGATAATCCAAGTCTTGAAGCATACTCCTACATAGATGTGGCTTCCAAGTGAGACTGTATTTCTTCATCCTTCCCATATGACCTGAAGAAGAGCAAATAGAATTAATTAATCTACATCAAAAATTCTGCAGAGTTTTCCTCATATTTCTGTTAAGGATTTTAGAACTGGTGCCTCTTCAGTGAAAGTCATCAAGGACTAGGTTCATCCGAAATAACCTAGCTGTAGACAAGTTTCTTATATGGCCTGAAATGGTTTCTACCTATCCACAGTGTTAATTCATTTGATAACTGCTTGCTCCTTGGGTATGCAACAGCCCTAGCTTTAGGTGGGACTCACAAAGACTCCAGGCTGCAATTATCTCTGTACTAACACTTAAGAAGAGCCATCAATTCTCAGCACGTGCCATCTCTACCACCAGAAAAGTCATATTTGTGCTTGAGAAAATCATCACAGTGCTTCCTGGGGAGAAAGACGGGCACTTATAAAATTTGGATCTGTGAGGTATGTTTCATTGCGCCCCATATCCTCTGTGCACCTACCAGCAAAATTCTGCACAAGTCTGTTGTCTTCGTTTATGACAGTAGCATGAAGCCATCATGGTGGGTGATCAACATCACACAGCATCCAGCCATTTAGATAATTATATTTGTGGACAGTATCTGTGACAGAACAGAAGTATGAAGAGCTGATGAAGGATTTGTCTTCAGGGGGGAAAAAGGCTGGACCTCCCAAGGAAAATATTACAGTGAACAAAAAGATGTTGACAAAGAAGAGGACAAAGGCCTTCCTCCCTGATTCCTCAGTACAGCCAAGGCGAAAGGAAAACATCCTGCGCTTAAAGCTTCAGTCTCCGGCCAAAGACAAGTTCAAAGCCCCTCTCAGTCTTCAAGATGATCAACGATCAGTTCTCACTCTGTAGACTCTCAAATGAATAGTGTTCTACACTACTCCTTTAGTCCCCAGGAAGAAAAGTAGTTCTACCAGAAGCACATCACTTGCCATCTGAGCCATACATGGCTTTTTCCTTCACCCATCCCTTCCTTACCTCTCAAATGTTTCCAAATGATGGCTCTATTTCTCGAGGCAAAGAGAACTTGACTATTGTTCCCCTGCTAAATAGGTGAAGAACATATAATAGAATTTTAGTAACATTTATCACCTGCCTTCAGTTTGTGGACTCCAGTGCTGAAAGTTATTTAACCACTTTTTAGTTTCTTTTTAGCCTCTAGTGACCTGGTACATGAGGGTACACTGCATTTGGTCTCCAGTTAAACACCTCTGGTGCCATGGGATGATATTTTGAACCTTATTGTGCTCCAGAAACTTGCTTGTAACCCGCTTGTTATCTGAGGTCATGCATCTCATTCAGCAGGCTTCCTCCTTGCGGCACTCTGAATTCTGCACACTATACCACCCTTTTGATAGCTGGTTCTTGCTTTGAGAAAGATGGGGGCAGCAGCAGGAGCCCTGGGAGCCCTTTTGTCCTGGGGAAGTTCTTTGTTTGGGTCCTGAAGTCACCGTAAAGGGTTTTTTGTTTTTGTCTTCAGAAGAACAGCAGTCTGTCATGCTACTCATCTTTTTGCCTTTTCATTTTAGAGAATTACTATCCTCTATCCCTACTTCCACCACTTTGGTTCTTTTCCCCCTCGTGAATAAATATCATTTCTTCTACATTTTTACCAGAAAGCAGTTGAGAGGGAATTAGTAGTTGTGTTGCACATGGACTTCAGGTTCATTGAGGGGAGGGGGGAGTGCTTGCCTTCTCAAACTGGAAGCATGAACCCAGGCTTTGGGAATTTAGGATTATGGTCAACCTCCAGGAATGGACTCTGACAGGTAAGGTATTTCAGTGGGTTCGAAAGCATGAGAACCAAATATGGCATTTATAATTATCCTGAGACTGAATAATACGGTGTTCTTATCTGCATCCCCACCCCCATTCCCACCAGCCCAAGGCTTTGTGTGTGGTCTGTGGTCTGTCAAGCTCATGATCTCTCTCAGCCCTGATTGCCAAGAACACTTGAAATCTGATTCCACCTCTAATGACTACTTCTAACTGCTCCCCAAGGCAGGTTTATCTGCTCATCATTAATCCAAAAATACTTTACAGTTGTCCCTTCCCATTGGATTCTGTTTGCCCACATTATACACTATATCAGATGTTATACATATTAGGAGGATTATATGACAAGATAAATTGAAGTAAGAATCTTGGTTAGTCTCTAATTCTAATAGAAAAAATGTTTAGCTGTCCTCATTTAAATCCCCTGGTCTCCCATATGTTTGCGCCCACAAATCAGGAGTTCTTGTGAACCTTAAAATATATGACAAGGACTTTTCATACAAGCAAAGTTGTTGTTTAAATTGTTTTTGCTATGCCTGTAGATGAAATGAAATTGGGGTTTTCTACCAAGCTGATGGCATCGTGATGAATGCTTAACGTGTAATCGTGGTAGATGACAAAAATATCAACAAAACATGGCTCCTGCTCTTGAGGGGCTTACAGTTTAGTTGAACAATTAATTAAACATTTCCTAAACTTTGTGCTGTGTCCTAGAGATACAAAGCCTCCTACTATTTAGTGGGGAAGCCAGTAAACAAATAGTTACAGAACAGTGTGATAAGTACAGTAATAGAAATATGTGCTGGAGCAAGATTCAGTGTGTTCATGGAGCATCTGCATTCCAAGTATAGTGGAGAGTCACTGATAGCCCTTGCCCTCTTGGACTTAGTCTAGTAGAGTGTACAGACAAGTAAAAACAAAGTGCTATGAGAGGATGTGTGTGGCCAGGATTTAGGGGCAGAAGATCAACTTTTAAACTAACAAATTGAGGGAATAAGATTTTTACGCTGAGACCTAGAAAATGAGTATGCATTCATGCCTGCTGCTCAAGTAAAGGCATCAGGAAAAACCTTGGCTAGTAGCTGGAAGGCCAGTATGGCAAGAGAGCGGTAAACTGGGGCTAGGATGAAATGAGGTAGGAGAATACAGGAACCAAGGACCATGCAGGATCTCATTAGAACTAGAGATCTGGGATTGAATTCTAAATACTGTGGGGAACCACTGAAGGATTTTACATATTTTTTAAATCACTAGAATAATCTGAAGAAAGACTAGAAAAGAGGCAAGAGTAGACATGGGAAAACTACTTTAGAAGGCCTTTGCTGTGATTTTAGGGAGGGAGGATTATGGGTTGACCTTCAGTGGTACCAGTGGAAGTAAAGAAATGTGGACAGAATGGATATCAATTTCAGAAAAAGAATGAATGAAATTTGGAAATGTGATTGGAAGAGTGGATGACATCCAGTTTCCTGGCTTGAGTAACTGAGTAGGTGGATATAGCATTTATTGAGGTGGATAGGACTAAAGGAGGAACATATTTGTTTGGGCAAGATCAAGTTCCAGTTTTATGGAAGAGGTAATACTTAAATGTGGGCCAAAACAAAAGACATTGTTGGAAAAGAGTAAGTACTAGATCAAGATGAGTAATAGAAATAGTAAGTGCTCTAAGAGTTGAGCAGGAGGAGATCATCAGCAGTTTCTAGGGAGATTAAAGACTTCTTGGGAGACATGGGACGTGAACTTGCCCGTGAGGATTGGGTGATACTTGGATTAGTGCAGCAAAAATATTCCAGGTCAACAAACAGTATGAACAGAAATATTATGGTATTTGGTGAGAGATAAGTCTTATGAACAGCTTAAGTGAAACTGAGGAAATTGAATTAGGAAATGGAGGAAAAGTAACAGTTGGAAGGGGCCAGATTTGTTAGGGAGGGGTGCCCAAAAATACGATAGTCAAGCTGTGATGGGCAATGTCGTAATTTGGGTGGTTAATCTTGTCTGTGTGTTGAATGAATTGTGAAGTCTGGAAGGTTGGTTTCTGTTTTGTTTTTTGGAAATTTATTGTTGCCAGCCTAAGGGTTTGAATTGAATTTATAAAACCAGTGAAGAAGAAGAACAAACAGGATTAAAGTGACTTAATGGAGATAAGGAAGGAAGAATCAAAGTTAACTTAAACCTTGGTAACTGGGAAGATGATTTTTGGCAGAAGTGAAAATGTCAGGAATGGGACTGAGTGGGTTGAGTAAGAAGTTTAATTTTAGCTATGTTGAGATTAAGTTTCCAGTGGCGTAGCCTGTCTCATGAAGAATATTGAATCGGAGAGGGCCAAACATATCTGTGACTTCAAACATTGTTTAAAAAACAAACAAACCTTGTCTTAGCCTGTTTGGCTCAGTGATTAGAGCGTCAGCCCACGGACTGAAGGGTCCTGGGTTTGATTCCATCCAAGGGCATGTACCTCGGTTTGGTTGCAAGCTCGATCCCCAGTCGGGGCATGTGCAGGAGGCAACCCTTTTACTTTCTCTGAAAAAACAATGGAGAAAATATCCTTGGGTGAGGATTCAAACAAACAAACCTTGGCAAAAAAGTTACTAGATTCTTATAAACCTCAAATTGAGAGAGACCACTAATTATGTTGAGAGACAAACTGAATGTCTTTACTGTGTGTATCTTTGTACTTTTTCTCTTTTCCCTTAATTTGATTATCCTGCTAGATACTTTAAGTGAAGTTTTTCTGCACTTCAAGGACAACTCTTTTGATCACTGTTGCTTTGTATGAAATTGTGTATTTGCTCTTCTTTTCTCCATGAGTCTTGCCCCTGACTGTCCCCAATTTTTCCCCCTTTTAAAATCTCTTTCAAACAGGTCTGGTGGGAGAAAATAGGTTCTGGGGAAAAGACACTTTTACCTTGAAAACCTGTTGAGATTGAGATGGTAGATTGGCATGCATAAGGAATGCTGAATTACTTACTCCCTGAAGCCTGATAAGTACTATGGCCCCAATCAAAACTTTGGGCTTTGGGTCATACATTCTTTCTTTGCCCTAATCTTTTGAGATTGTAGAACCTACTAGTCTTTGTTTACTGAACAGATGGATGACTGCCCTTAAAATTTTAGTCATGTTCTCACTGTTTTGCTACCATGTTTCATAGAAAAAAACGCTTGGAGGGTGGGGGCTTCCTCTAATAAAGAGCTGAAGGGTTAGCTACCTTTAATTTCTTTGTCTTAACATCTTCTTGCTACCTCCCACAGAGATCCATATGGCTTTGGAGACAGTCGAGATACAAGACGTGATCGATCCCCAATTCGAGGAAGTCCAAGGAGGGAGCCCAGGGATGGCAGAAATGGTCGAGATGCCCGGGATAGCAGAGACATGCGAGACCCCCGAGACTTGCGGGACCATAGAGAGAGAGACATTCGGGATCACAGAGACAGCAGAAGTATGCGTGATGCTCGGGACATGAGAGATATTAGAGACTTCCGTGATCTAAGAGACTCTAGGGATTTTCGAGATCACCGAGACCCCATGTACGACAGATACAGAGATATGAGAGACTCCCGAGATCCCATGTACAGGTACATGTACAGCTCTTCTGCTTGGTTTTTTTGTAATAGTATTTTTAATGTGTGTTCTGCTAAACTAATTGAAAGCCCTGAAGGACTGATTTTATCAGCCTTATATCTCCAGTGTCTCTCATATGGCAGATATGCTGCTCAGTAAGTATTTTAACGAACAAATTTGGGTCTCTCCCCATGGCCTATTAAAAACAACATTGTACAAATGGAAAAAAGATGAAGTGCAAATTGTTTTAGCAGTGCAAAAGCACAGGGAAGATACACAAATGACCAATAAATATGAGAAAAGATGCCTGACATCCTTAGTCATCAGGGAAATGCAAATCAAAGCCACAATGCTACCACTTTATACCTACTAGCATGGCTATAATCATTTATTTGAAAGACCAAAAAACCACAAAAATAGCAAATGCTGGTGAGGTGTGGAGAAATTGGAACACTATTTTACATTGGTGATAAGAATGTAAAAATGTGGCCACTATGGATAACAGTTTAGCAGTTCCTCAAAAAGTTATAAATGTAGTAGAATTACTCTGATCTATCAGTTCTACTCCTGAGTATACCCAAAAAAATTGGAAAGAGACAAGCAGACACTTGTACATGAATGTGCACAGCAGCACTATTCACAATAACCATAAGGTAGTGTATCTATGCAATAGAATAGTATTCAACCATCAAAAGGAAGATAATGCTGACACCTGCTACAACATGGATGGACCTTGAAAACATTATGCTAAGTGAAATAAGCCAAGCAGACATAGAAGACAAATATCATATAATTCCACTTACATGAAGTATCTAGAAAAGGCAAATTCATAGAGACAGAAAGTAGATTAGAGGTTATAGGAATAGGGCATGAAGAGATACTTCTTAATGGGTACAGAGTTTCTGTTCAGAGTGTTCTGATCAGGGTGATGAAAAATTATTGTATGTATATGTATATACATACATATGTGTGTGTATAAAATAAAGTATGTGTATACATATACACGAACTTTATTTTTTAACCACCAATTTTAAAAAGCACAGGGAAAGAGAGAGGAGAAGGGTGGGCATGGAATGGTTCCTCAAAACTAATACCAATAATTACTACCAGGCCTTGGCCTGTGTGGCTCAGTAGTTAGAGCATCGACCTACACACCCAAGGGTTGAAGGTTCGATTCCGGTTAAGGATACATACCTGGATTGCAGATTCGATCCTCAGCCCTGGCCTTACCAGTGCAAGAGGCAACCTATCAATGTGTCTTTCTCACATCGACATTTTCTCTTTCTCTCTCTCTCTCTCTCTCTCTCTCTTTCTCTCTTTCTCTTTCTTTCTCTTTCTCTCTCTTTCTCTCTTCTTCCCTCCCTTCCACTCTCTCTAAAAATCAATGGAAAAAATATCCTCTGGTGAGGATTAACAAAAAATAATAATTACTACCAGTTATTTTGTGTTTGCTTTATATCAGGAATTATGCTGAACATTTTCTGTATATCCATTTATTTTGCAAGGCAGGTTAACTCATTCGCAGCCACAGAGCTAATGAGCAGTGAGTCCCAGATATAAGCATACTTCATTTTATTGTGCTTCACAAATTGAAGGCAAGACCCTCCTCCAGCAAAAAGATTACAACTCACTTTATTGTGATACTTGCTTTATTGCACCTCTGGAACCGAACATGCAGTATTTTCCTATACACACTTTGTTTGTCTAATCCCAGAGTCCTATGCCTTACTATGTTTACTTCCTCACAGGGGACTGGGTCTTGAAGAATTCTCTGTATCTGATTTTTGCAGGATAGGACAATTTTAATTTTGTGCTAATTTCTTTAATTTTACAGGAGAGAAAGCTCTTATGACCGATACCTGCGAATGGATGACTATGGCAGGAGAAAGGATGACTCTTACTTTGACCGTTACAGGGATAGCTTTGATGGACGAGGTCCTCCAGGTCCAGAAAGTCAGTCTCGAGCAAAAGGTAAAATAGCAAGAACAGTTTATTTCTATTACTGATAGAATACTTTACAAAAGAAAGAGGAAACTAATAACCAACTGGAAGGGGCTAATGACTTGGCCAAGCAATTCACAGAAAGAAGAAGAAATACAAATAGCCCATTGATATGTAAAGAGCTTTTTTTTAAAAAAAAAAATATGTCTATTGATGTCAGAGAAAGAGAAACATCAGTGATGAAAGAGTCTTTTATCAGCTGCCTCCTGCACAGCCCCCACCGGGGATTGGGGACCAAGCCCGCAACCCAAGCATGTGCCCTGACCAGGAATCAAACCTTGATCTCCTGTATCATAGGTCAGTGCTCAACTGCTGGGCAAGAGCATTTTTAAATGCAAATTAGTATCATCTGGCTTAGTCATCTAAGAAAAAAATAAATATGGAATTCCAGCAATAAGAATAAAAGATTGGAGCTAAAGAGGTTGCTTGCTTTTTGCCCATTGAACAAATAACTATAACTATCTTGTATTATCTGTGCGGCTTGGGGCTTGGAGGGTTTTTTGTTTGTCTTATTTATAATTTTTACCTAACAGCATCTCTTTTTTTTTAGGTAAAGACAAGCATGTTTTTTAAAAGCCTGGTTTTCTCAGTACATCTTTAAAGATTTTTAAGTTGCTTCATACCTAGTCGAGTTAAGAACCTCATTTTTAATTCGTAATAAAACTTACTACCTATTTTTCTTTTTCCAAAAAAAGCAAATTACAAGTACCTGTCAGTAAAGGGTCTTAAATAGTTGTCCCAGAAATGCAAATTACAATAATAATGAAATACCATCCTTTACCTGTCAAGCCAGTGGGCATTTTTTTAAATGGCAAAACCCGATGTAGAGTAATAGCACTAGGTGATTCACCCCTGTAGGGAATAAATTAGAGCCTGTCTAGAGGTCAGTGTGGCAGTATATATCAGATGAAGCATTAGAATGACCATGCTCTTTAACCCATTTCATTTCAATGAATTTATTATCGTAAAAAAATAATACTGATGGTTATTTTTAGGAGATAGTCTAGAGGATTAATACAGAGAGAGAGTGTGTGTGTTATGACCTTCACCTACAGGTACTTCAGGATTCAAAGTAAGGCCTGTGACTTATTTTTATAGAAAGCACAGTTCATATTTTAGTTTTCCCTGGTGTTATCTTACAGAGCGTTTGAAACGTGAAGAACGACGTAGAGAAGAACTTTATCGTCAATATTTTGAAGAAATCCAGAGACGCTTTGATGCTGAGAGGCCTGTTGATTGTTCTGTGATTGTGGTCAACAAGCAGACTAAGTAAGAATCCTTTGGATATTTCTCCTGAGTAAGGGGAAGGGTCAGAATTGAAATTCAGGCTCCCTCTTGGCAGTCTTACCCACTGAACTTGGTCTGTGTATTCTGGCATTGCTATGCTGTCTGAGCCAGAGTTCTTTCAGTTTTCAGTGACAAAAAAACCATTAAAAACTAGCTTAGGGCCCGGCCAGACATGGCTCAGCGGTTGAGCATCAACCTAGGATCCAGGCGATCGGGGTTCAATTCCCGGTCAGGGCACATGCCCGGGTTGTGGACTTGATCCCCAGTCGGGGGCGTGCAGGAGGCAGCCGATCAATGACTCTCTCATCATTGATGTTTCTCTCTCTCTCTCCCCCTCTCCTTTCCTCTCTCTGAAATCAATAAAGATATATATTTTTTTTAAAATAGCTTAGGCCTCAAAGGGAAATTTTTAGTTTTAGTTTGCTTAGCTAAGAAGTTCAGGTATGGCCACATCCAGGGTTTGGTGTCTGTGTTGCCTTCATTCTCAGACAGGCATTTTACTTGAAAAGGCAGAATGGTGCTGGCCCTAGGCATGTATCTTCCTGGCTTAGCAAATGCAATGGAAAGAGAACGTCTCCTTTCCAGTGCTTCCACCTATAGTCCTGTAATTGTTTTTCATTGAACTGACCTGGCTCTCCCATTGCTGGACTAATCACTTTGGCCAGCAGTGCTGGGATGCCCTAATTGGCCAAGGCTAGGTTATATGCCCATACCTAGAGCTTAAGGTGGGATTAGTCCTGTGGAGCCATGTAAACTGAGAGAGATGCCTTCCCAGAGGAAAATTGAAGTGAGACTATATGCTGGTCAGGCAAAGCAGTAGATGCCCACCTTCATGGGACAACCTTGAATCCCCAAGACTTCAGGAGGTACATCTCTGCATTTGTCAACCGAGTACCAAGCCTTTTTGGTGAAGTGCATGGCCTTGCAGAACTGTTAGGTAACCATGCTAGTCAGTCCAGAGTTCATAGCATGGTTTTACTCCACCTCTGTTTCACATTCTTTCCTTTAAGAAGCAGAGCAGAGAAGCAGAAGGGAGTATAGCAGTTTGCAGGCTTGGCAGTAGCTATATGTTCTTTCCCTAGGTGATTAGTAAATAACTTCATGTATTTCTAGCAGTTTGGGGTTAAAGAGCTAATTTCAAGGCAGAGGCTAGGGAAATGGGTGTTGAGACACCAAGCAGCGGGCAGAGTTCACAAGCTCTGGGCCCCCTGTTTAGAAATAGATGCTGCTTTAACTGTAGAAATAAGGTTTTTTTGTTTGTTCATTTAACACATGATAATAGCTATCATTTTCTGAGCACCTACTCTGTACTACCCCCATGCTGGGCACTTTTTACATAAAGTATTTTTAATCTTCATAATAATCATGGAACGTGAGTATTCATTCAGCAGTTTTTTTGTATGTATGGCAGATGCTAGGTACTGGAGCTGTAATGGTAATAAGCAAACACACATAGCCCCTTCCTCTTATAGAGCTAACACCCTGGTTGGGCAGATGTATTGGCAATAGGGCATATGAGAAGAAATACATCAAGGACCTAATTTAGTTTGGAGAGAAGGTCAAGGAGATGACATAGAGGAGCCATATTGTTTTTGTTTTATTGATAAACTGAGATTTGTAAGAGGTAAAGGGATCTGCTAAAGCTTCACAACTTTGCAAGTAAATGTTAGGTCTAGGATCCAAACCCATCTTTCTAGCATGAAAGCCCATGCATTCCCCACTGTTATGCAGCCTCTCCAAAGACAGGTATGTCTTAGGCAATGAGATAGTGTTGTTAAGAAAGGACTGCAATACTAGAGAATTAAAAGAAGGACCTGACTACTAAATACTGTGCTACCCGCAACTTAATATGTAACCATTCTGAGCCAGTTTAAAGAGAAGAAAATTGTCTAGATCCTTGGAGCCTGAAGAGAGCACTGGGGAGACACTGGATGGGCTAGGATTTGAACTCTACAAAGGAGCACACAGCTAGCTGAGGTACAGCAATGTGCAGATGGTCAGGAAGTGCTCACCTGGATCCTGTTTGTTTCTACAGAGATTATGCTGAATCGGTGGGGCGGAAGGTACGAGACCTAGGCATGGTAGTGGACTTGATCTTCCTCAACACAGAGGTTTCACTTTCACAAGCCTTGGAGGATGTTAGCAAGGGAGGGTCTCCTTTTGCTATTGTCATCACCCAACAACACCAGATTCACCGTTCCTGTACAGTCAACATCATGTTTGGAACCCCACAAGGTATGGAGGCCCAAGTGGGTCAGAATTTCGGAGTTAAGTCATTAGTCCATTAATTCTTTCAGGCCTTACTCAGAAAAAGCAGGTTTTGGACAAATGACTCATATTTCAGCTCAAATATGGTAGAGCCCTTGGGTAAGTGCACCAGAGGAGATTTACATGGTCATCTATTCATTTGATACTCTTAGTGGATACAGTTCTGGGCCTACTATATATAAAATGTTATATTTAGCCCATAGGTATATACAGTGGTGTGCTGCCAAATGTTTAACAACCAATCCTGGGTGGAAAAATGGGGGCAATGTGGTTTGTAGCATTTGCTGATTGTTGTAGTGCAAATGCTCTCACCATTTCATAGTTCAAACCACCAATGTGAAGTCACTTCAGGGAGAGTTGGGAAGAGATGCGCAGTCGGCTGTTGCCAGTAGGAAGTTCCAGCACACCTCTGGTGCATACTATACTGAGTGCGATAGAATCCTTGCCTTCACCAAGCTTTCCAATGGGAGACAGAGACTACAACAGGCAGCGGGGATACTATTTGTAAGTGTACTGAGCAGAGGGACTGTGAGAACAGGGAGGGAGCCCTGACCTCCTAGAGGCCCAGGGTAGGTTCCTTGAAGTCCTTCCCTGAAGTGACTTTTAGTACTTTGCGCCCAGAATGTTGGGACTCAGGTAATTGATGCCTTGCTCATTGCTCTTTCAACACAGACTTTTCCCTCTTCCCACCACACTCAAAATCTCTATTTGTCTGACTGGTTACACCATAAAATGCATAAGGCTCTCCAGTGGGTCATTTGTCTCTGAGTAGTAGTCCTTTAGATATGTGAGTTCATTTATATAAAGTTTTGAGAAGTCTTCTCACCACCTGTAAATCATGTTGCCCAAGGGTGAGGAGAGGAGGTTATTTAGGGTCACAATTTGGCCTTAATCCATGACTTACGAATTCAAAAACAGTAGGCCAGCTCTATCCCAAGAAGCATAGAGGAGAGCCAGGCTTTACAGAGGGTTTTTTGACCCCCTGCAGCCTGCCTTCCATGGTTATTCCCCATAAGGTCTTTTTGAATCTGTGGGAGACTGTTATGTTTCTTTGGTTTTTACTACAAGTCTGTGATCTAGGAGTCCCACAAAGAGACAGCTCTGTACAAAGGTGTGCATTCCCCACCAAAGAAATCCATTCACCTATCTTCCCAGTCTCATCTCCTTCCCCTGCCCTCCCCATCCCCCATCCCAAGGCTTTTTGTTACTGAATTGGTTTTCTTGCTGGTTTGAGGTTAAGAAAGGCTTGGTTAATAGAATTCAGCAGATGGGCACTGAAATCTGTCTTGGGAGAAAATAACTCAGGTCATTCCCTCCTACAGAGCACCGCAACATGCCCCAGGCAGACGCCATGGTGCTGGTGGCCAGAAATTATGAGCGCTACAAGAATGAGTGCCGGGAAAAGGAACGTGAGGAGATTGCCAGACAAGCAGCCAAGATGGCCAATGAAGCCATTCTCCAGGAAAGAGAGCGAGGAGGCCCTGATGAAGGAGTGCGCGGGGGCCATCCTCCAGCCATCCAAAGCCTCATCAACCTGCTGGCAGACAACAGGTACCTCACTGCCGAAGAGACTGACAAGATCATCAACTACCTGCGAGAGAGGAAGGAGCGGCTTATGAGGAGCAGCACCGACTCTCTGCCTGGTGAGCTACGTGGCAGGGCCGAGGTGAAGTTCTGACTCTGCATTTCTCTAATTCCCAGGCTCTGTTGGGAGGGTGGGAGGCCCAGGGCTCTTTGGGTGGGTAAGGGAAATGAGCCCACCCCTTGTGTTTGCCCGTGGGCCATCATACTGATATAATGATAACTAAAAGATTTGGGCAAAGAATTCTGATCCCTGTAGTTAATCTGGTGATGGGTAGACTAGTATTGCTAATTCCCTGGTAACCAATGTGGATCCCCTTTTTTCTTAGTTCTCTGGGGGAACCTAGGCTGTCTTCTGGAGACAGCTCATACCATGGAGTGGCCCCTCTGGGAAATTGATGTTATAGTCTGTGTACTGTGTGATTGATGTGATCAGTGATTGTCGTTCTTCCCTGGGCTGCTAAGCCTCCTGCCCTTGGAGGGTACTTTCAACCAGATACTTCCTTCTTCTGTCTCATAGGCCCGATTTCCCGCCAACCACTCGGGGCGACCTCGGCTGCCTCGCTGAAGACACAACCAAGCTCCCAACCGCTCCAGAGCGGCCAAGTGCTCCCTTCTGCTACACCCACTCCAGCTGCGCCCCCCACCTCCCAGCAAGAGCTTCAGGCCAAAATCCTCAGCCTCTTCAATAGTGGCACGGTTGTGGCCAATAGCTCTGCATCTCCCTCAGTCGCTGCCGGAAACACCCAGAACCAGAATTTTTCCACAGCAGTGAACAGCCAGCCTCAGCAAAGATCACAGGCCTCTGGCAATCAGCCTCCAAACATTTTGGGACAGGCAGGATCTGCTCGGAACATGGGCCCCAGGCCTGGGGCTTCTTCCCAAGGGCTCTTTGGTCAGCCTTCCAGTCGCCTGGCACCTGCCAGCAACATAGCTAGCCAGAGGCCCGTGTCTTCCACAGGTATCAACTTTGACAATCCAAGTGTACAGAAGGCTCTGGACACCCTGATCCAGAGTGGCCCTGCTCTTTCCCACCTGGTTAGCCAAACTACAGCACAGGTGGGGCGGCCACAGGCGCCCATGGGATCTTACCAGAGGCATTACTGAGGCTCAATCTCAACTACTACCAGCCCCCTCGTCCCTGGCCGCCTCCCACCTATTGCGTTCTAACTAGTTATTTGGAAGATGTTCTCTTCGCCTGTCCAGGTCACATCAGATGTCCTCAGTTTCTACCACCTGCTCTCTCCTGCCCAAGGCTGTGTTGCTTTTTCCTTCCAGAGCCAGAGTTTATACTGCATTTGTGGGTGTATCTTTTTTTGTTGTTTTTGGTTTTTTGTAGAAAATATTTCTGGGGTTGCTTGGGTGGCAGTATAGGTGTCTGGGCTCAGTTTATATTTTATGGGTTTCAAACATGGGTTTCTCTGGTCTTTCTGTCACCTCGATTTGGAGTGTGGGGAGGGGGAGAAAAAGCCAAGCCCCAATTGGCTGAGTTTGGAATGACATTTTCATGTCAATAGCCACTGCCTTTGTCTATCTTTCATCCTCACAGGCCAACCAGAGCTCCAGCTCCTGTCTGCAGCTCCTGCCCAGAGTTGCATAGCAGACTGGGTTTAGCAGGCATGGTGTCATTGTGCCCCACGCCCCATGTTAAGGGGTCTGCTTAAGGATTTATAGTTCAGCTACTCTGGAGTTTAGGAATGTCCATGGCAACCACACAAGCAGATGTTTTTCTGCCTGACCCAGTATTACTGGTTTTGGGTTTTCTCATTTTTCTCTTCTTTTGCTTTCATTTCATTGGAGGATCTCCAATGGAGTAAACCTTTCCAGTCACCAGCAGTTTAACAAAAACTTTGAATCTGGGCTGCAACCACTCTTAACCCCCCCGCCCTTAATATTTCTGTCAGCCTTTCTCCAGTGGTAGTTTGATGGAATCAGTTCTGAAAAGGCAACTCTAGACTCTGGCATTGAACACCCATTTTTTCAGTGATTGATTTGAGTTTTGGGCTTAAAAATCAATCTCTTGTTTTCATCTGGACTCTTGTTCTGTTTTCTCAGTAGCAGGAGGTAGGGACCATTTTGATGTCAGACTTTTGGTAGCTGGACATGTTCTTGATACAAGCGGCTATTCATAACTTTCGAGCCAGAGTGAAATTATTAGAGGGAGAACTTCTGGCTGCTGCTCTAAATGGAGCCAAAGGAAGCTGCCCTCTCCCTAGGGATGGTGCTCATTAGAGCCCCGTGGATCACAGTCTCAAGGGACCCCAGGCAGGGATGATGGAGAGCGGTGACTTAAGCTGAGTCCCTGCTAGTGGCTAAGAAAACAATGGTTTAAAAAACTCAAGGTCCCCATATGGCAGCATTTTATGTTCTGACCTGTTTGTGTTATATAGTGTTTTTCCCTCTTTGGAACTTGTGTTGTTAATAAGATGAGATGATTACTTTTTAATTAAAATGAAAAAGGAAGAGCTGTGTTGTCTTTTTTGGGTGTGACTATATCTGCAGGACCTCTTTTCAGGGCATTTCCTCTCAGGGTTGGAAGGTGAGGGTCCCTGACTGAGCACTGACTAGTTTCAGTGTGCTGTGAGGCCTGCCCCCTCTTGTCCTCAACCTATGCTCAGGCCTCGAAACCTCTTTTAAGCCTAGCTTTCTCTTCAGCTCACCTAGTTAGCTTTAATAACAGTTCAGAGCAGAAGACTGTTTGCTAATTATAATACTGTGTTAAACATCCTTGTTTGTGGTAGATTTTCAATGTATGTCAGCAGGCTCATCCTCTTATTCTAGGAAAGAAAAACAAGACCATCAGGAGGCTATCTCTGGCCACTGGCCAGTAGAGTGGGATACTCTCCCGTTTTGATTTCATCTCAGTTGCCACCCTCTCTTCTGCCCATTATGCAGGGAGTTGGCATAACCATAGTCACAGAACCTGTAGGAGCCTTTGGGTGCATTTAATAATAGCCAGCCCAATCAGGGTGTGGTGAAGTGACTGGCACAAGGCCCCTGGTGGGTTAGGGACCAAAATGCAGATAGCACTGAACCTGACTAGTCCATTCTCCCTACCTTACAGGGGATGATGTTAGTTCAGTGTTCTCTACTAGCCCCTGCTACTAGTTCCTTTGTTCCTTTAAGACAGGGCCCCAAAACTCAGTACACTAATGGGGCAATCAGACCTGGAGGATCAGCCCATCCCTCTTCTCTGATTGAAGGTCAGTGTTTCTAATAGGAGTCTGGGCTCCTTCTCTAGAGCCACATTAAGTAACCCTCTTCCCACCTACTAAGTCTTCCCCTTGTGTCTCCACACAGCACACCTAAGGCCGTGAAGGGTATAATAAAATTATTTTTATTGCATTTTGTGCAGACGGGAGTCTAAAAAATTAATACAGTAAAAGCTGTAAAGCATTAAATGGGAGCATTCAACAATAAAGGAAAGAACCAACCCTCTCCTTTTAATATTGGCACAAAAAACACAAGATCAATACTGAGGCAGAATGCGGAATACTGAAACACTGAAAATTAAAGGCAGGCCTAATAGTAATAAATACTCTTGATTTGGTTTGCAACCTCTCCTATTTACAAGGGTTTCAACTTCATTGCATTGCCCTGCACGTAGATCGTCTAAAACAAAAGCAACACTAGTTATCACTACAAAGCTATTGAAATATTGCACTCAGAATAAAAGTCACTTGGATGGACATGAAACATCTAGCTACAATGATTATAAAGATAATTTGATGAATGACATGATAACATTCATAACAAATATTGCACATGTAGCACAGAAAACTTGGGTTTTTGTTGTGGGATGTTTGTTTTCTTCAACGGAAACTGCTCTTGCCAACCAGTCTGGGCCCACCCAGATAGTGCAACTTTGGTTCCCTAATTGGTGGTGATACAGCCCCCTCCCCCTTCTGCCCAGCCCACCACTTAAGTCCGAATGCTCAGGTTCCCAGAAGGCTGGACCAGGTTGTGATTCTCAGAGGTCTTTTGAAGGGACAGGGCAAGGGGCTGGTGTCTTAATATCTCCAGCTTCCTTATTACTACCTGGAAGAATCTGTCCATCCCCCTCATCAAGTCTCAGATGGGCCTCAGCCTAACTGGTAGAAATCCAGACCTACCTCCAGCCACACCTGACCCAGTCTAGGTGGCACCAGCTCCAGCTCTCTGCCTACGGCTCAAAGGAAGGGAGGTGGTGAGGTCAGGAGTACCTAGTAGCCCCAGCTCTGGGAGGTGGGCAGGATATCTAACTAGGTGTGAAGGTCAGGGCCCTGGGGCTGGAGGTACTGTACCCAGTCAGTCCCAGAGGACACTGGAAGGAGCATGCAGTGCCTGTCCCCCTTAGTAGTGTGCCCTGGGGGAAGGGAACCCGGCCATTGCGCCTTCTCTAGGGGTTAGAGGGCACCTCTGACCGGACTGAAGTAGCAGAAGCGCCAAGGACGAGTTGGAGTAGCCAAAGGCCTTGAGTCCTAGCTGGAGGAGGGCAGAGAGGCGCTAAGAACAAAGCACATGGCGACTCCAGCCCTCCCCCAGGCCCAAGCGCCTGCGAGACACAGCTAGAGGCCGCTGCTAAACAGCAAGGGCCCACCCTGGGACTCGGAGAAAGTGACTGGGTCCCGGAGGCTGGAGCTGCCTAATAGGATTGGGGAGGGAACATCAGGGGCAGCGCTGGGGCCTCCCCAGTGGGTACTGCACCTACACCGAGGTCGCCCCCCTCCTCCCTCACCAGTCCCGGAAAGGAAACTCCGGGGAGGGAACGCCCTCCGGCTCCCTGACTTCAGTCTTTGGCGAGGAGCCACGGGAATAGGGGGAGCAGCCGACTGAGGAGAGGCGCCTGCTCCCCCAGCGAAGGCACCGGGACGGGGCTTCCTGGGTGGGGCGAGGCCTTTCTCCCTTTCTCCCCCTGAGAAGCGCCCTCACACCCCCATCCTGGCCCCAGCTTGCATAAGAGCCGCGAGGAGGCTGCACGCGTGTCTGCAGCCGCCGTGGAAGCTCACATCCGCTGGGAGCCGAATCCAAGAGAAGCTGGACACGTCTCACCTCATCTCCGAAAAGAACTAGAGGGGAGGGTCGGGAGCCAAGGGCGCGCGGAAAGGGCGAGGAGGCGAGAGCGGGGCCGGGGTGTCGAGGGACCGGGACCAGGACTCCCGCCTGGGCCTAAAGCACTTTTGCTCTCAAACTCTCGGACGTCGGGAACATCCAGCCTCCCCAGGCCTCCGCCGCCCCCGGGCGCCCCCAGCAGGGGAGCTCGGCAGTAGCGAGAGAAGTCCGTTGCGCTTCTAGTCACGGAAATATGGGGACGTTAAAAATACACGCGATGTCTCCTGTACACTATGTATAGGCTCGGCCGGCCCACGCCAGAGGCTCCGCAGGAAGGGGCGGCGGCCAAGGCCGAGCGCGGCCGCCTACCCCGCGCCCGCCCGGAGCCAGGAGCGGCGCCGGCGGAGCACAGAGCGGGACTGACCGGGACGGGGC